TGCAGAAAATAAAGCCAGCTGATTTTCAGCTTACTTCAGGACATCTTATTTCTTTCTGGCACCCCAGCTTTAAAGTCTCTTCTGCAGTCTCAGATATAATAAATTGTAAATGAGCTGAATAAACTCATCCAAGCACACTGCACGGGAACACCAGACCTCCAAACCCGGGATCTGTTCAAATCCTGCCTGCCCAGTGCCCACAGCAGTGCGGCCCATACCTGGGACATCTAAAGAGCTCTGCAGTGTCAATGTCATCATTAATGTGACTATGTGTTCCTGTGGGTATCCTGGAGGACCTCCCTGATCAACAAATTGATCATTGGTTTGGTGTGGTCCTGAGGTTCCCTTTGCTGCAGGCAGAGTGCTCAGTTTCAGCTTTGAATTGCTGCACTGACTGGCACAGTCCTGGGCATCCCAACAAAAAAAAAAAAAGCACACAATTTCTAATGTTCATAAAGCACAAAAGAAAATACTGAAGTACCTTTCACAATCAGGTTCCCTGAATTTCTGGCAACTCCGAACTGATTTGTTGCTATACAAGTGTAGATCCCAGCATCTGATTTGGTGATGTTGCAGAGCCTGAGACTGCCATCCTCTCGTACAATGATCCTGGGGGAAAAAATAAACAAACAAACAAAAATGAAGAAGAAAAAAAGACTTCTGTCAGAGGAACTGTAATAGAAATGCAAGGCTACTTTTAATATTTAAATGCTTCCATTACACTTCTCTTCGACAGCAAGCTGAATATGTATCAACCAATTTTCCCCTCTGCTTATTATTGATTTCTATGTTAGGAATGTTTTATTGACATTTTTGGGTTAACCATTAACTTATCTAGCTCATTTTCTTGCAGTAAAACTTGGGAGTCTCAAGAGAAAGAAGGAAGACCCGACTTGTTACATCATTGTACTATATTTTACCATGGGGGGCTTTTCTTTCAGATCCCGATGCTCCTATGCCATCCTAATGTTGTGTCTGAGCCCAGCTGCCTGTGCAATTTTGTCAGGATTATTAAAAGACATTAGCAGACTAGCTGAGATGCTGAAATGCCATCTCACAAGCCAAGGAGCCAAATCAAACACAACGCTGTCTCACAGGACCCTCAAATCACCTTATTAGTCACTATGTTGTTTGCTGCATTTTGCAGAGTATTGGGTAAATTGCATTTAGTAGTAATTTCAGGACCACTCCTGGGTTTTATGGGCAAAATTAATTTCTAAGCTTGTTCATATGCTTCTTCACGCCAATGAGATACTTTAAGATGTAAATCAGTGCAGAGTTCAGCATACATTTTCCTTAGATAAGCTTTCACTGTGTGCCTGGCACCTTTTTGCTTTTACATGCAAAGACAGCACTTCTGAGTTTGGGGATTTTCTTTGCAAATATTCAGAACAAATATCTATCAAAGGTAGAGAATTTCAAAATGAAAACTGAATTATTATTAACAATAAACTTTTGGATAGAAAACAATATTATCCTGTAATGTTTTGTTAATTTTGTGTCAGTTCTTCCATCCACCTGTTGCACCTGCTAGATGTCGAAGTTCTTGACTGTTTTTTTGGGGGGGGGTTTAGAAGAAGGATAGTGGGCTGAAAGACATTAAGTTCTTGGAATATTCATGAAAACAGGGTCAGGGTCTCTATGTATAACCTCTCTTGCCAGTAAGGCCACTGCATGAACACAATCCTTAGTAGTCATCAGAGAGTCTGCACCTAACCAGGGAAGAGCTGCACTCAAACATCACACTTTCCTACATCTGACAAAATCCAGCTGCAAGTCACAAACCCCCAGGAAATCAGGCATCATTCATCCCAACGCTCACCGAATCATCGCATAACTTTTTTATATTCCTTATTTAATTGACATTTAAATCTAATACAAGGATCCTTTCACAAAAAGAAAATATCTAATTCATGCATCACAGCTTGGGTGTTTAATATTTATTACTAACAACATAAGATTGGATGACGTAATGAATTATTAAGAGAAACGAACAACAGCAAGAGCAGAAGTTGAAGCTGGCAGTAATATCATAGCCATTAAATACACAAAAAAATTCGTAGTGTCTTGCTGCATTCCACTCTGGTATTTATATGCTTGTAGCTATATATGTAACACACGTTAGACCTTGTTCTGCCTCCCGTTTCATGCTCCCAGCCTCTCAGTTGACAGGCAGAAACCCTAAACTTGGATTTCAGGCGTTCTTCTGGCTTACATCCCCCAGTTTGATGTCTCCCTCTCTTATCTGACCTTACCCTGCCGAAAGATTTCCCCCGAGCAGGGCTGGATTCAGGAACGAGAAAAGCTGAGCGGTCCCTGTGGTGTCGAGTACTTTCTCGCTGGGGTGTGGAGCTGAGAGGGGAAGGGATTTAGGCTTGAATGAAAAATCTTGGTTACCTTGGCAATAATCACCAGGTACCGCAGCAGTTGTTTGCATGCAATTTGTAGTACGATGAGAAAATAAGTTTGGATTTAATAATCCATCATACACCCGTATTAAATTGGAGAGGAGCAAAACACGAAGCAACAAAGTATGGTCTTCAATATAATGATGTATCAACTAAATGACATTTTTCAGAGAAGGAAAGATGAATAAGCAAGAAAGAACCGAGCCTTTCCGCTGGCACCACAGCACTGTGCATCAAAACGAGAGTCTGTGGGTGCCTCTCCCTGTGGAGACACACCTGATGGCAACATTTTGAAGGCAGGTTTCAATATGAAGAAACATTTGCCAGCGTTTCACTTCTGCCTCTGCAATTTTCTTTGCATCAAGATGCATTTCTTCACATCAGTTTGCAGCAGCCACAAGAAAACACCCTCATTAGAAACTGCTGGCGATAAAACAGTTGATTCGGTCGACTGGTTAGCTAACATATGTTGGCTTCACGGAACTATCAAAAGAGATTCAAGTGTGAATCAGCAAATTTTCATAAATTGGATACCTGAATAATAAGTTATAACAAGTCACCGTCGTGTCTTTCTCATCATCAAATATTGGTGCTCTGTTATTTTTACTGCGGTTGCACCTAAAAGCTCTAGGTACAAATTGGGATGCAGAAGTGGGCATGAGGCAAAAAAAAAGACAATCCCAGTCCCCAAAAGATTCTAATGTAAGTAAATACATAGGGAAAACTGTCAAAATGTAGAATAATAAAGGGGAGAATCTTTGAATGCCCGTTCTCTCTATGGATTTCTGGCTAGGGCTTTTTCACTGAAGTTTAGTCATATCCAGCTCAGTTTTTTTTCCCTGTATTCTTCATTAGGAATTGAGACCTGAATAATTCCCAGCCTCCTGGTTTATCCACAAAGAGGGGTTTGCACTGACTCAAGAGCTGAGGAGGTAACATTTGATCTGAAGAAATACTGAGACAACACTTCAGCAACGGGGCTGGCTGAGGATGGAGTGGTGCTTTGAATGGATCAAAACGGGGCTTAGCGAAGAGAAACCTTGAGCTAATAAAAGCCTCAGAGTTGTTTGAAACAGAGGTCACGCTGCCTAAAGACAATTAGGGAGCTAGCAGTAAATAAGATACTCGGGCAGAATTTATGTAAAAGCACAAAGGACTTCAGAGTAATTAGTTAGTGGGGAAGGGAATTAAAGAAAACAAAAAAAAAGTGAGTGATTTCCAGCTGTAGTGAGGTCTGTGTCAGGAGAGGGATGAGAAAGCAGAGAGTAGCAGAAAATCAAGATCATGCATTTCAAATGGAAGGAAAAAAAAAAACAAAAAACAATGTGCAATACCGACCCGGTTGCCACGAACGACAAAGTTGCCATAAACTTCCTCAAAGCCACGACTTTACCCCGTGGGTGCGGCCAGAGGGGCTGCACTTTATCCTCTTCCATTTGTCTTTCAAATAAGGGAACTGTGGTTCTGAAGGCAGTGGGGATATTTCCTTTAATGGGCTCGGGATGGAGCTCTAACAAATAATTGAAAAAGAAGGTGTGAAACGCCTGTCTCACCTGCTGAAAGGTACTTTTCACAACATTTTAGACTGCATGAAGGCTAGAGATAATAATTCTTAGCATTTGCATGAGAAGAGAAGGTAATTCCAAGTACTGCCACACAACAGAAAAGTGTAACTTGTTCAATAAAATGCAAGTAGAATATTTTGTCTGCCAGGAAAAGTGGACTTCTCAATAAGAGAGTGAGTGTCTCTCGAGGGACGAAAAGCAAAAGATCTGAAGCAGATCTGGTAAATGTACCCCAGCGAGAGAAGGAGGAGAAGGAGGAATAAAATGAGCTACTCGGGACACAGCTGTTCATAAAGCCCTGTTGCAACAAGGGATTGCTGAAACATAAGTCTAACTCTAAACCCAGATTTCTGACATACAAAATGCTTAAATACTTATCAGACTAGTGCTGATGCCTGTGTTCCTGCCGGAATTAACACAGGTGCTACCTCTGGGTAAATAGCTCAATTAAGCAAAGTTGCTATGAGGAAAAGAAGAGATGAAAATCCAGTTGTATAAATCCATAAAAGTTCCTGCACACAAGTGCTAATTAGAAACACCCAGAAATATCATTCCACGTGTAACAAGCCTAGGAACTTACCCTGCAAAAAGATGGATGTGTTGGATGCAGCTCACTTCATGTGGCTCACGGGAGCATAAAAGAGCTCTTAAAGCCCAGTTCAGAGGCACGTCTGGCCAAGTTCCCATCTGCGGGATGCCCGTGGCAGAGGGCGAGGGCAGGGGAAGGATGCAGCAGTGGGTACCACAGTCCCTTCCCAGCACCCAGAGTCTGGATGTAGAGGCAATATCTTTCTAGATAAGCCGAAATCTGTCTTCAGGAATGAGTCCAAAGCCCTTGGAGCCTCTGCAAATCTTTAGTCTCACAACTTGTGAGAAGTTTGTCCCCATAGTGTAAGCGACGTCCTTTTGTTTGTTTTTAATCTACTCGTCCCACTGGATTGACCCACGTCCTTGTCCTCTCTGAGTGACTCCATTAGTGTATGAGATGAGCATTATAGGCAGAAAGGGAAAACAAACACCCTACCCAAGACCAGCTGGAGTCAGAACTCCTTGTAATGTTCAAAATCAAGAGTTTGCAACCTTTCTGCAGAAGACACGAGACTGGGAAGAAGTGAGAGCTCATTAAAATTGTCACACATACTTTTTAAGTAAAGACCTTGAGAAATCAAGCAGGGATGATAGGTAGGGCTTTTAATTAACCAGGCCAAACAAACCATCTCTGAAAGTGTTGTCTCATGTGAACAAAAGATTGTTGGTGGCTATTTGCTTTGATCTTAAGAGCAGGAAAGAATAATATGTATTTAACGAGGCTGATAGAAAAAAAAAAGATGAGAAAAGAAAGAGGTGTCAACTCATTAGATTTTAAAGTGCAGCAGAGGTAATTTTTGTGCACTGCTGTGTTGTTCAGCCAATCTGTTTTAGAAGGAGGCGCGATTTTAGTTCCTGGAAGTGAATTACATTAATTCAATACATCAAATGTCTTTGAAATCCTCATCGAAGTCGGTTGAGCTGCAATGGTGTAAAACTGGGGGTGAATCAAGCCTACTTCTGCAGATTTCAGCACTGCCAGTAGGGCAGCTGTCTCTTCAAGGGCATAAAATAATTCCTTTCGAAATAAAGCAACCCTGATACTTCA